TAAGAAACGGACAAAGTCTTTTGCTTGAAAACGTCTACCGTTTTAAGAAGCCTTTACCATACGATTTTTAGTATAGAATTCAATCAGAACTTTGATTGATGTTCAAAAAAGAAATCAGAGCATAATGCAAAGACTAAATGAAGTCCCAGATTTCCTATACAATTCGCTTCCCTCCATTTTGAAAACAATAATCAAAAACACTCCTGAGATTGACCGGTGGACACTTTCTCATACATCCATACCGCAATAATTATGCCTCAGAAGGCACCCTTGATCCGATACGTTGCGTAAAGTTTTTACTATAACTTTTAATTCTTAGTGAATGCTTCTAGCTGTCTATCTGGTTACGATATTGAAGCTTTTGGTCTATGCTATAAAGTGCGGTAACAAGTCACATCATAAACTATGAATTTCACTAATTTTATAGGCCTATAATGGCCCAAGCAACCGTTCCGAAGCTTCAATCCAATGTTCAAAAACGGTGGTCGATTAGCATCTATTCATAATGCTTTTGTTGGTTTCAAATATTTGATGATGATGTTCCAACTTGAGATTATTCATTACAGACCAACGCACTGATCCTAAATCTGGCTGATTATGGTGGTGTTTCAACGCTTTGGATAGGTTTGGTATGTCCTGATGCAAATGCGAAAAATTGTGTATGGGATGATGGTCAAATAGGAGCAGATCAGTTCAATGCATTTTATCCAGGTAAAAACAGTTTGTTCAAAGATTTACTGAGAAGCAGCTACTGGAGAGTGAGGGCCATCTGTTCAACGGCTGTAAAATTTTTAGGCTATCCTTGTGGAAATTGTGATAATCATTGGTTGTATATGCTGAACTCGAGAGCGAATGGCGAACCTGGCAAATGGCCCTAGCATTATATGGTAGTAGGATCGGATATGTTTGTGAAGTGTTAACAACAAGAGGTAATCTGTAACTTAATATGTGAGACTGCATTTTACGCGCGGCATCCGACATTTCTTACGAGTAACTCCTCACAAGGGAAAGATACTTGGTGACCGTGGCCTTTCGTAGTGGAATGAATACCAGTAGATGCGTCTTGAAACGCTGATTCCAAATCTATGTTCATTATCTGCTGCGCGGCTCTCTGACCGAAGTTATGGACTTTTTTCCGTATTAATTTCACGAGATTTAGAAGGTCAGAATCGTCAGTATCTTGGCTTTTTGGACTCGGATATATCGGGGACAGTCCGATGCTTAAGGTAAAGTTTTATTTTATTTGGACGCTCTTCTGTAGTGCGCAAGTGACTATAACAA